AAGTTTCTATGAATTTGTTAAGTTTTAATTTAAACTGATTTTAAAGTCTGTTTCAAAGAAGGAAATATAATTATAAAGAGAATAAGGTACACACACACACACACACACACACATATATATGGCAATAAGATTACAAGATAGTGCAGGTGTTAATGAAACAGAGCAAATATTATATATATATATATCTGTGCGCGCGCACACACACACCTCTCTAGCATGACACTTTTTCGTGCATGACGCAATATCTGAAGATTGCGTTGTGCATGCAACTCATTTGTGCTAGAGGTGTGATATTATGTATATTTATTAATATATATATATATATACACACACACATATATGGAAAAGTTTTCTTTACCAATCTATTTCAGCCCCTAAAGGACTTTATGAAGGTAAATTTAGAAATTTTTATTTTGTAACTTATAATTAGAAAAATTTCCACATTTACCTTGATAAAGTCCCTACGTGGACAAAATGCATTGGCAAAGAAAAGATTTCCTTTTATCTTTTATTTATATCTGAATTTTGAGAGACACACACTCTGAGATTTTATATATATATATATATATATATATATATAATTCATTTAATCTATTAAAATAATCGTATAACAGAAAATATATTAAATAATTGTTGGACTGAATCCATTTCATTATATATATATATATATGTTAGTAGGATATTTAATCCGAACAAGATTGATAAATTAGACAAAGTGGAAATCTGTTTTATACACTACGTGCTTCATTTTTGTTAGATTTCTTCAGGTCAGAATAAAAAAATCTGTGCTCTGTTTTAATTTATTATCTGTCTGGCATCTTCTGGTCAGAATGAAAGAACAAAATTCTGTGATATTTTTATTTTTTTTGTACTAACACACAGGCATTAATATATTTAGTAGAAAAAAATCTCAATTTTTCTTTTTTCCTTCTAACCAGAAGATTCCCGCTTAACAAAAAGATATTAATTATTTAATATTAAAACACATCCACAGATTTCTTTCATTCTCACCCAAAGAAGCCTAAGAGTTTTCTGCTTTGATTTATTAAATATATGAACAACTTTTTTTATAAAAATGGACATCAAAGTCAACACCTTGTGATGGCATTTAAGCATGAAACAGACTCACTCCTGCATGTTGACCTCAGTGTTCACTTTTATATTTACATACGCTCTATCCCTAATACTGAGTACTTTAAACCCTTCCCTGACAATTATTTTGGAGAAAAAAAAAAGGTTCATTTTCAGATGATTATTTTTATTTGTTTTCAATATAGTAACTAAGAAACTGAGGTACCTTGAAGAACCTGAGTGGTGGCTAACACCTCTACCATATGTATGAGTTGACAATTGTACTCATTTCAAGCTCAGAAGGCCATAAAAAGAATCATGATTGATGTATAAACATGTCTGTAGCTGATTTTTGAATGTTATGTTTTGGATGTGTTTATTTGGCCATATCTGAATAAGACATTTGCAGTAAAATTTATATATACGTCTATGCCACTGAAGGGGTTAATCCACAGATATAGCATATCTTAAAATTATATTTTATCACACACACACACACAGACACTGTGTGTGTGTGTGGCCAGGTGAATTTGCTTGTTTTTTTTTCCAAGAGTAAAGATAGTAATTTTAAATAATCCTATAAGTATGTTTTTTGTTTTGTTTTAAATTTCAGAAAAAATGGACAGAAATGCCTGCAATAAGACCTAATGGAAATAAAAGGACAGTTTTCCCCATGAGATTGCTTTTTTAACTACATTCACTCTTCGGCAATGTTTATTGATATAAAAAGCGATGATTAGAATTGGAATAAAACTTAAACATATGATGAAAGTGAATTTATACATTTAATTTTTCTTGGAAATTTCCATCAAAAATGTTTAAACACTACTTATTTATTAGATTGTTTATTTACAAGAATAATTTTATGTTAACAACATTAAAAAAAAACTAATATAATTAATTTGTTACTTTTACTCACTCACATGAATCTGACAATATTATTTGCAAGATAAATGTTTCTGAGCTCATAAATATTTAATACTAGCAGTAGAGCCCGGCGTTGTCCGGGGATGTAACAGTAAGAGATAGATCAAGTATCGACCATCATAAAGACTGAAAAATAAAATTGACAAAGATTATTATTTAAGGTTGACAGACACGCATGTCTTAACTAGTTTTATATTTTTAATTTTTTTTACGAATTGGTCAAACTCAAACAAAAACATTGTTTTCAATCGTTATGAATCTACCGATTGAATAGAATTTTATTATAAACAATTGTCTTGTAAATGGAATTTTTAAAGCATTCTGAATGTAAAAATAAATAAAAAAGTGTGCAAGACAATAAGAAACACTACTTGCCAAAAAAAGTGAAGTTTTGTTGAAATTGGTTGGAAAATGTAGCAAATCCGATCCCATATATAAATGAACACACACAAACAACCAACCTGGGTTTTATAATAAGTATGACTGTATATTAATAAGTATAACTCGATATGAGTTGTCCCCCTTTCATTAATGCCTCTTAATCGTGATTTTAAATTGATTTTGTGCAAAAACAATTTTTGGCACTGTCAGAACCACCACAAGGTAATTTTACGTAGTCCTGTGAAGTTTTGTTGAAATCGGTTGAAAAATGTAGGAAATCCGATGCAAATATAAAAACAGACAGACACACACACACACACACACACAATTTGCGTTTTATAATAAGCAAGATAAAATGCCTATACACATCACAAGAAGATGATACCTGCAATATAATGGTGGATTATTTTATCCTAACAATTAGTTTACTCTTGCAACAACTATTTTTTTTATTAGATTTTTTGTTTTCATATTTACAACAATCTAAAAGCTAATACAATTAAAACTAATGGAATCCAATATTTATCATTTACTAATTTATAAAGAAATAAATGTGAAAAAAAAATTTATACATAAATTTAAAAACATTTACTAAGTTATTAAAGTATGTGAATGAACTATAAGGAAATTTTTATTTACCATTTTTGTAAAGTTTGAATCAATTGGCAATTAGCCAATGTTTTGCCAACCATTCAATAAAAAAGAATATATATACATAGTGTAAATAAACAAACTAGTAAATTATGTTTATTATTGTTGTCAATTCTGAAGAACAAAGAAAATGTATAAATTGGCTTTCATATGTTTAAGTTTTATGTCAATTCTAATCATTGCTTTTTAGAATAATAAACATTGCCAAGGAGTGAAGTTAGTTAAAATAATACCAGTGTCATGGAAAAACTGTCCTTTTGATTCAACCAATTTTTTTTTCTTTTTTTGCAGGTGCCTTTGTCCATGTAGGCCAACTTTTTCTGTCATATTTTGGTTAGTAAACTGTTTTCATTTTATTTATATAGATTTACACACACACACACACATAAAACGAACACATCCATGCATACATATTGATATAAAATTTTCTTGTAAATTTATTCAGTTTTATTTAAAAAAAAAAAAAAAAAAAAAAAAAAAAAAAAAAATAAAGTATTTGTCTTGAATGTCTGTGTAAGGAAAGAAAATATAACTATAAAGGCATACACCAAATATCTATATACAATATATATATATATATATATATATATATGATATTCCAAAAGCCTCCTGATGAGCTCCTTATTACAAATGGGTGCTCAATGACGATTAATATATATGTATATAAAACGTTTATATATATATATATATATATATATATATATATATAGTGTGTGTGTAGACATATGAACATTATATCTGTATGTGTATGTACCAATATGTACATGAAGACACACACAAAACTTATGTATTTACAATATACAAGATTCTCTTTTAAGCATATTTTATTGAATGTGACTCACCAAGACATCTTAATGACAATCCTCTCATAATTTCACACTGCTCTCCGAAGTGTCTAATATATCTTTAAAGATCAAGTGCTTTCAAACATTCTTTTGCTGTTATCAGGACTTCCGTTTAAGGAAATTTGGGTACTTTTTTTTCCCATAATTTCTTTAAAGAAATAAAAGATCACTATTATCTGAATGTTTTGGTCAATCGCATTTAAAGAAATGTAATTGTGAGAAAACCTGCTGTTTAAATATCCAGCAGTACATGAGATTATGTATTTTCCATCAGGTGGTGCTGGGGCCACTCTTGTAGTAAAAACTGTTCCTGATTTAGGCCCCTACACAATGTACAGGTTCAGTTGTTGATGGTAACATCTATCACCTGTATGAAACCATCTATATATTCATATATTGTTATATATTCAAAGATATATTATTCTTGAGGTAAGTTTTTTTTTTTTTAATTTTTTTTTTTTTTTTATAATTTTCTTTTTAAGTCTTTAAATAGAATGAATCAATATTGTTCTGCTTTGAAAAAAAAATAATGAAAATTCAACTAATTTGTGTTATTAAATTATTTTGCAAAACATCAATTATTTATAGTTTTTCCAATTTAACTCTTTCAACCAAGATAATTTTATGGAAGTGTGAATGTCACATTTAACAGCAGGGGAAAATGAAAATTGTTAAGCCAGTATCAAATTCTGGCTGTGTTATTTTTTTTTCTAATGCTCTTGGGGTAAAGGCATGATTAAATTCATTCTCTCTTGAGTTACAGGTAAAATAACAGGGTAGACTGGACTCTCTAGCCCTGGTTGGTAACCAATCTATGAAAAGCACAACTTAAAATCAGGGAGTGGAATTGGTTTAAATTGTTCAAGTAAAAGTCATTCATTCATTTATTCCGTTAACAAATTTGGCACATCTGTGATCACCCCTCTCTCTCTCTCTCTCTCTCTCTCTCTCTCTCTGATGTTGCCCTTACAGCTTTAGACACCATCATTCGAATTCACCTCTTAATATCATCAAATTGATTCATCAGTGGTCGTGCCTGGCACCACTAGGCACAGCAGTATGTCTTCATTGAAGCCGCCTTGTTGCATAATATGCCCAAAGTAACGGAGCTTACTTAGTGCTATCTGCTCTCTTGATATGTACCTTCTTTTTTTTTTTTTTTTTTTTTTTTCTGATGGTATTTAGTACCCACTTATTAAAACATCTTGAAAACATCAATCTGGCATCTTTCCCTCGTGCTCAGTGACTGTGACTTGCATCCATAGCGCAAAAGTAAAATAACACATACAAACATAAAACACAAAAAATTCCTTCATGGCACATTGTACTAAAAGTAGGCATATTTTTTTATTATTTTTATTTTTATTTTTGTACAAGGCTCGGGAGCCACTTGAAGTAGAGCATTACAGAGTAAGAGGCACAGCTTATGCAGATATGTGGGGAAGATACCAGTTAACCATAGACTTGAACGGTTTAATATTGTAGTGATCGGGGGAAACATCCTCTTGGGAGCCAGTTCCATAGAGAAGTGGTTTGTGGGAAGAAGCTGTTTGAGTGGAACTTACTTCTTACGAATGGAATAGGGAGGGGATGTGGGTGGTTTGCTACAATGGGTGTGGCATAGTGGGTCTTAGCCACAAAGATTTAAACTGGGGGAAGGAAGGAATGTAGTTCATTCGAGCCCTTTCCATGGAAATGGTGATAGAGAAGTGAGAGCAATACACACTGTTTAAAGTAAAATATGAAAATGGACCATTTATTTCAAATACAAGTGTCCACTATGACGCTGTTTGAAGCATAGCAATTCCTCTGCTTAGCTTTTTTCTGTTGTGTCCCGAATACACAATTTAAGCATACTATGATACTGGCATTTATGTCCCACCATTTTATTGTTGAAATAGTTAAATGCAACCACCACTTCCTCTCGAACAGAACCGTTTCAAATCTCGCACATCCCCCTTGTTGTTTACTTCCTTCCCTGATAGCTATAATCTTCAAAAATTTAAATGCAATGTTAATTGCCATCTTATGTCAACTTGAATCATATTCATACTTTGTCCTTTACTCAATCCTCCCTATTCTCAGTCTTCTCTTTCACTTTCACTCTCTGTAACCCCCTGCGTACTAGTGGCATTCCCGTTCATCTTTTGTCCTGTCCTCAATCCTCCCTATTCTCAGTCTTCTCTTTCACTCCCTATAAACTCCTGCATACTAGTTGCATTACCACCTTGCTTTGGATGAAATGTGTATAAAAAAAAAAAAAATCGGATATTTATTAATCTGAAGACTTTCTGTCTAGGGCCAAAACGCATTACTTAGGGTTTTTTTTTTTTTTTGTCTCACTCTGTCATTACTTTGAAATTGGTTTGCAGCAGAGATAAAAATGGAGGGTGTGAAGATTTCATGCTTGAACTCTCTATAGAACCACATCGACCACCAGATAAAATCCCTACAAAATCTGATTATCTCCCAACTTGTTGATTTCAATATGTGATAGCCATGAAGATCCAAAGTACTGCTAATTCTTCATCTTAATGTGCCATGTCTCTTCAGGACATTGACAATCATGGCTCTCCACAATCTCCTGTCCTTTATAGCTCAATAAATTTTGTCTTTTTGTTATGTCTCCTAAACACTGTTCCACCATCCATTTACTGAAGCTCATTTTTCTTCTCTGTGCTGTGTCCCTTCAGGATGTTAGCGATCATAGCTCTCCACAACTTCTGTCCTTTGTAGCTCTTAGTAAATATCTTTTTGTTATCTCTCCTAAACTTTCTTCTATCATCCATTTACTCAAGCTCGTTTGTCTTCAATGTGTTGTGTCCCTTCAGAAAGTTGGTGTACATAGCTCTCCACAACTTCCTATCATTTGTAACTCTTAATAAATGTTGTCGTTTTGTTATCTCTCTTAAACCTTATACAACCATTTATTTCCTCAAGTCCATTCTTCTATGTTCCATGTCCCTTCAGGGCATAGGCAATTATGGCTCTCCACAACTTCCTCTCCTTGGTAGCTCTTAATAAATTTTGTCTTTTTTTTTTTTATATTTCTCTGAAAGCTTGTCCTGACATCCATTTAGTCAAGATTATTCTTCTATGTCCCATGTCTCCTCAAGATATTAGCAGTCATGGCTCTCCACAATTTCCTGTCTTTTGTAGCTCAATAAATTTTGTCTGTTAGTTCTCGTAAACCCTGTTCCTCCATTCATTTACTTATGCTCACTAAGTATGCTATGTGTTGTTTTCCTCTGACATGTGAGTATCAAATTTTCCAAGCTCTCTTTCCTCATTATGTGCCCTAGTGATTTCAACTGTCTCTTCCTGATGCTGAGTATAAATGTCCTTTTTGTTTTCATGTTCTCTAAAGCTTGTCACAATAGAGGATATTGAATAACAAAAGTAACAAAAAACAAAAAAAAACAAAATAAAACTACCTAGACTATATATGTAAACACATATTAAAAAAAAAAATGTAAATTTAAAAGGTTAAAATTTCAGGATCCCTGCCCATCGTGCGCATATGTAGCTCTTCTATGTGCCATTTTCCTTTAGGATTTTAGAGATCACAACTCTCCACAATTTACAGCCCTTTGTAGCTCTTAATAATTATCGTCATTTTTGCAATTCTCCCAAACCCTGCTCTGCAATCTATTTACGCAAGCTTGCCAGGTATTGCTTTCTTTTGTCTTTCTTACCTCTCAGTCCTGTGAGTATCACTTCTTCCAAACCCTCTTTCCTCATTATATGCCCCAGAAAGTTCAACTGTCTTTTCCTTATGTTAAGTATCCTTTTTGTTTCCATTTTCTCCAAAACTTTATTGTTACTCACATGTTTGGTTCATAGTATCCTCAGAATCTTTCTGTAGAACCACATTTCTTTTGTTTCATGTGTCTTTGAGATTTCCCAGCTTTCACTGCCATACAGGAGGAGAGATCATGTAACAGTTCAGTACTCTTTTTCTTTGTTTCTAATGAAGCTTTTGGAAGACATCTTTGACTTTCCCAATATATCTTCAGATTTCAGTATTACACTTTCCATCCTTTGTTTAATCATTTCCCAGATATTTAAATTTTTGTACTTGTTAGATTTTGGTATCTCAGATTTGTAATTTACATATTGGGCTCATCTTTTTGCTAGTGTTATTGACAAGTGTATGGTTGCAAGAAAGAAATATGGCGACAACAGAATAGATTTACGTGATTTATTTCAATAGGAACGAGTGGTTTTGGGACAGCTACCGTGTAGTATAGTTCATAAGCCGGCTGCCGATCGGGGTTGATCTCTCATAGTAGTTCTCACTTGTTGGCGTGGCGCTCCTGTTGCTGACTGCCCAGACTGACCATGGCAGATCTCTTCCCTGGCCTCCTGTTGACTGCCCTTGTACTTCCCCATGTGACCCCTTTTATGGCGTTTTTTATGGCTTAACAGGCTCAAAAAATGACATGAGTATAATTAGGAGGGAAGCATTTTTATTGGTCGAAAAATAGAAACACTTTAAAATATTATTTTATTTTTCGACTGGAACTCGTGCATTGGGCTCATGCATAGATGACGATAATGGTCATTTTGTGATGGGGCCTTGTCCCATTCACATCCGGCTCTCGCTCTTGAGTATGTTAGTTTATTTGCCTGCAAATCAGCTGAGATATGTCTTATTTTATTTTATAACACTAGCAACCATTCATTCTGTCTTCTTGCAGTTGATGTTTAATCCTTTCTTCTCATTTTCCTTCATTACCTTCTGTTGGAGTGTTTGTAGTTTTCTTTCTGTGTCAGCTATCAACATTGTCTCATCTGCATATCTTTTGTTGTGAAGATTGTGGCTGCCAATAATAAATGCTAGTAGAACTTCTAGTTCTCTCAGAATCACATCATCTGTTTGCATCTTCTGATACAAAATAAAACTTGTCTTTTGATGTCTCTGGTTTAAACTTGGAGGTAACTCGTATTATACAAAGCCAAGGCAAAACATTATAATGAATTTTGCTGAATAAACTGTCAGGGCAAACAATCTCTCACCTCAGGTGACATATTCAGAGGTGGACGGATATCATGTAACAGTTCAGTACTCTTTCCTTTGTTTCTAATGAAGTTTTTCTGTTTCTTAATACTCTGCTTAGCTTTTGGAATGCATCTTTGACTATCCCAAATGTACCTTCAGATTTCAATATGACACTTTCCAACCTCTGTTAAAAAACACTTTCCAGATATTTAAATATTTGTACTTGTTTGATTTTGGTATCTTTGATTTGTAATTTGCAATTTTGGTTTATCCCTTTGCTTAACAACCATCCATTCTGTCTTCTTGCATTTGATGCTTAGTCCTTACTTCTTGCTTTCTGTAGGGGGTTTGTAGCTTTCTTTCCATATCTGCTATTAACACCATGTCGTCTGCATATCTTATGTTGTTGAGATTGTGGCCACCAATAATAAATCCTATTATGATTTCTAAACAATAACGGTGTCCAAAATACTACGTTTCATTTGGTTTGGTTTATTTTGTTTTATGGTATATCAACACCTCAATGGGTTATTTAATGGTGACAAGATTTTTAGGATAGGTTTGTATGAAAAGAATATGAATTTTTTGTAAGAGATCAGGTTTCATTGATATATTTTAGTAAAGAGGGTTTTTGTCGAATCAAATCTATTGCTGCTAACATTTTTTTCTTTCAAATATGTATTGCTAATATTTCTAGTATAAAAATCTATTTTATACTTCCATAGTGTTTTCAACACAGTTTGGAGGGGGGTTTGCTGGCCCTCTAACAGGTGCTACCACTCTGGGTCAGGGTGGGCCTGGGAACCACAGTAATTAACAGATGGTTCCACACTCCTCAAAAGCTTCCAATCAGAGGCCTTGCTGCCGGATGTAGTTTATCATCATACCCAGGATGCACTATGTTTGGTAGCACTTGTAGAGGGAACGATAGATCAACAAAACCAAAACAAAGCATCAACTGGTTATACAATTGATG